AGGATTGCACCATAAGAACTGATGGGAAGGTCATGACTCCGAAAGCAGCCGTGTTCGCGGTGTTCATATACAATATCGAGATATCTGACGTTCACAGCTTCCAACAACGCTCTCTACGCGCCATCCTGAAAGCAGAATGGAACCTCAGGGTTACGAACGAACAGGTACTGAAGATCGCCGATTTGAATAAATCATCAGATGCCTCGCTTGGCTTGATAAAACGGCCAGAAAACAGAATGGAAATATATTCATAACGTTTTCCTCTTGTTAACCTCGCACTGGTGGCTGACGCGTGGGGGGGGGGGATACAAAACGTTGAAAAATGTCGTTGCTTGTAGAGAGGGGCATGAACTTTGTCAGAGTAGAGAACTTTGCATAATATCAATTTGAGGTACCATGTTTAACGGTCATACATCATGAGGTACTTTGCGGTTTAAGCTTCATTAACATTAGCGAAACAACAGTGCTGTGCAAAAACATGAAAGGTTTCGTTTATCGAAAGACCTCATTTTCATTTGTCTCTGTCGATTACGGTCTCCAACCCTAACTGAAAGACTACCTCGACGAAATACTTACGTGTTGGGAAACACCGAGGTCGTCTGTCCAATGCGAACTGCAGATATGCACTCTTCATTCAGGAGATTCAACTCTTCAGTCTTCTCAATGAGTCGTAGTCGATTCTATGAACGAAGTGTAGCTCCTCTTCTATGTTATTGGGAGTGTGATTCTTAAACTAAAGCATTCTCAACGTTGTACCAGTCTAGCAGCAGACCAACCCCACCGTTGCTTAAGTTTCTTTTTATAGCGCAAAAAACTTTCTACGATACGGACGGAACAATTACAGTTGCCTGTGGCTGAGCGGGCAAAAATTCTCTCCCATGTATTCATGGTGTTAAATGGGGACAAGGCGACAACCTTCACGTGGTGCTCCTCTTAGTTTTTACCTAAGTGCGCCAAAGCTTAACAATACAACGAAAGTCGTCACCTGGCAGCCGAACGTTGCGAAAACCGTTTCTTGGCTCGACTAGTGACAAACCTCTTTCTTCTCAGAACCAAACAGGTAAATCAGTTCGAAATAAACCCAAAGGCCCTTATGAGGGTCACAGAAGAAAAACAAACCGAAATGTCCTTATGAGGGCCATAGAAGAAGAGCAAAGATGAAAACATTTCAAGAAAAGTTTGTGGTCAACAGAAAGTGCAGAACGAATCGACGCCAAAATATCTGAGCGTTACCTTGATCGAACTCCGTCATTTAAGCCACATCTGGAAAAGCAGCAGAAGACTAAGAGAAGAATTTGACTTGTTACAAAACCTTGCCGGCCATTCTGAGGAGCAAGTGCCCGTGTGCTGCGTGCCTCAGCCCTAGCGCATATTGAACCACTTCATTTCCGCTGAGCGAGCAGGGTATCGCATTTTCCAAAACATTGATAGGAATCGCGAGTTACTAATCCATCGTCTTCTCCAACAGCCACCAGCACGACGCCTGAAATCACGCCGTCCACCATGGAAACGAGCAACGACACCGCGTCCGAGTCTCGATGAACGGTGGCGAGCAGAGTGGGACGCTACAGCTGTCCATAACAAAAGTTTAATCTTTAACCCAACCACAGAACCGCCCACCCCTCGATGCCATTCTGGATTTAAATCGCCTAGAATGGTCGAGATTAAACAGGATTTGAACAGGACGAGGATGCTGTGGATACCTACTCCATCGCTGGAATATGAAGCACAGTCAGCAGGTGACTGTAGTCATGATGATCAGACTATGCAGCACATTATTTCCGAATGTCCCCTGCTAAGGTTCTTCGGCAGCATAGCTGATGCTCAGAATGGTACCGCGGCGACCATTCACTGGATTAGAAAACTTTACACTGAACTTAAAAGTTGCTATTCATCTCCTCTAGCTATACGACATAAGAAGAATAGTGTTAAACGGGTGTGCTGACGTGCTTGCTGTTCTTCCAGCTTGCGTTATGCAATGCCTAAAACTCATGCCTATTCTGTATCATTCCAACATCTAGGGTATTTTCTCAAGTTGTAGAAATAAATAGAGCTGTTTTGCAATATTGAATTGTTACAGCCCTCTTGACGAAATGATGATTGGTCGTGGTTTGATGTTTTCAACCATAAGTTAACTAATTCACTGCAGTGCCGTGGTTGTGAGTTTTCGTGTTCTTTTTTGTTTTTGTTTGGAGTCTAGATGAAGACCTTGCGCTTTTCTGGGTGATCGGTACGGACGGTGACGGTGATGTCCCATGGCTACCTTTAGACACGCGATGAAAGTTCTCCCATCTGATGAAAAACGTAAAGAAGAAGTTTCGGTTACAAAAGCAAATCAAAATTACAAAAACGTCAAATGATCCCCTTCGCCCTCAATGTGGAAAAATGAGTCTATTTGCAATAAGCAAATTCTGTTCATCCTAAAACCTCATTGTCGCTGAAATACAAGGTATGATTGTCCGGCGATGAAGCCCCAAACAGCTTTGGATGAAGTTTATTATGCCAGTAGTTTCCTGGCGAGCCGACGTGGCTTTCCGGAACTTCATGTGAAGGGATGACCAGTGTCAATCAGCAGCGATGGATGCAACCACATTGTTGCACCGATAATGATTGATTGATGCGATTTGCTCGATTAATTTCCCCGAACATATCTTGCTGATGCGAGAAATCAGCAAAACAGCTTGGCGCAATATAGTGTGGTCTCTTCCCAGCAGACTGGCAGAAACCACCGGTCCAGCAGATGACCTGGCGGAAGCAAGCAGCTGAACGTGAAAAGTTAAACGCTCGCAAGTGGTACTGACCCTCTCAATAACCTGAGCGAGCGTTTGAGGTTCAGTAAAAAATAACTTGGGTTGTGGAACAGAGTCGGCGAAACAATTGCTTCAGGTCATTCTTGACCCTCCCTCCACAATTTTCGATCGATCGATTGGACAAGAAGTAGCGATTTCGTTTCCCAAGATGCATCGAAACCACTGCAACTGTGACTTGTCAATTCGCAGAAGCAGCGGCTGTGCACCAAGGTTCTCTCGAAAATCTGTACTCCGAACCGATTCGTCACGGTAAGTTCATTTCAGCCGCTTGTGCCCGGGATCAAAGTTTTTCACTCATGGCCCCCGATCATATACCATGGGCACAGGTGAGTAGTGGGTGACATTCGACTTCAACACAGACAGCTTCGTCCTCAAGCTCAGCTCTGCCTTAGTCACAATGGTTGGTGCTAGTTCACACAGAATGCCGCTAGTCACTGCATCTGCCGGTCGATCTCTCTTTCTCTCATTTTTTGTCGACAGTACATGCGACTACGAGGAACGTGAACCTCCTTACCAGTTCCACTGCATCTCCGTTTTCAGGAGAATGAAGCACCATTATGACACGTTCATATGCACACCGGTCACTTCGCACTCGGTTGCAAAACTTTCGAACGAGTGCTGAAGATCAGTTTAGAAAAATGCTGACAAATCAAGCTCAACAAACCATATCTCATTCGCTGATACACTTGTCCCCTCGTTGCACTGTCAATCCTATGCATGAACAACACAAACGGTTGAGCGGATGGAGCTCAGCCTTGCAGAAGCTAATGTCATTGTTCAATCGTCTTGACATTACGCCTTTTAGCCTGAAAAAGGGTCGGCTGTTAATATATGGTAACTCGGAGGCTCTGAACAACTGGCCATTGATCACATACATTTGCAAGCATGTTCATAGCCTTTTGCACGCTCTTTGATCATAGGCTTTCTTCAGGTCAACAAAGCATATGTAAACTGGATGATCTAACTCCCGCGATCTCTCAATAATCTGTTTTAAGGCGAAGATCCGGTCAGAGGTGCTTCTTCCTGATTTAAAGCCACAGTGCTCTTTTCTAAAGTCAGTTATTCCGCAGTACCTCCTTACCGACACCTTTGTGTAGACCTTCTGCGTGAGGCTCAATAAGGTAATGCCCAAATACTTGGAGCACTTCGCTATGGTCCGCTTAACGGGAGTACTACAATGCCCGTTCTCCAGTCCACTGGTATTTTATCCGTAACCATTGTGGCTTGACAGATACGTGATAGATACAACATGCCATCTTCGCCTAAAGCTTAAGGAGCCTTGGTCTGATTTCATCGATACCGCAATCCTCGCTATTGTTCAAAATTTATTTTTACAGCTTCTGTGACTTCATCTACTGAAAGCCTGATACCCGTTACTTGCTGCTGCATAAATCCATATACTATACATGATAAAATACTGACGAACTATGGCCTTCTTAAACGGTCCCTTAGGCGATTAGTAAGCAGGGGACGGTGTGACTACATGATGCAAATCCAAAAACACGATGAGAGAACAAGGACAGCGGATATGAAGTGTCATCTGCTGATTACCAAATCAATTTTGATGCACTGTATCACGTATCTGATAGGCCTTAGAAGATCATGCGTCAGAAAATAGCAGTGGATCAATGAGCACAATCTACTGTACATCACCCAACCCCAGGGTGGCGCACGTCCTTGGATTTACGAAAGCCATTTACCGCGACTGCGGCTGAGAAAAGTGACTGATTTAGACTGAGGTAACATAAGTGCCATTGTTGCGCATCATGGTGCCAAAGAACCAATCGGCTCCACTTCAGGTCCGAGCAGCCCGTTCCGGCCAACTGCGTGCCGGAGGACCGTTTGTCAGTCTTGATTGGTATTTGCGATGCATGCAATACGAGGAACAACTTAAGTGCTGTCCGGCTTGCTCGCGCCTGATCGATAACGATGAAATGGAAGTCTGTTCATAAACAGCAGTCGACGCCCGCCCCCGGAGGACAACCGACGTGGTACGAGCGGAGTAGTGGCGACGGCCTTTTGGTGTGCGTTGTTGTTGCTGCTACGGTGATCGCCTGCAACTTGTTGATTGCTGTACCGCCTTGTTTACTCGCACTGGCAATGACCGTAATTAATTAGTGAATGCTCAGGTGGTGTGCACCATCCTCCAATCACACGGCATAGGTCAGTCGGTGCAAATGGTCCTTGGACATGCACATGTGCGGTCATTTTTTCGTCATAACCGACGAGTCGACGAAGATCGGCTCTTTCAACCTGCCCAACCGGACCGTAGTCATCGTGATGACCGTTCTGCAGTCGGCAGTGCTGATGGTGTCCCTCGCTCAGCACGTGTACTCGTTGTTGCACGTAAATTCGATTTTCGACTGTCACTTCAACGCCTCCTTGTCCCCACCCTCGAACGACCTGTTCATGACCGTCGACGTGGTGGTGTACGACTACGGATTTTTTCACCTCCTACTCGGAACCGAGAAGTGCGTAGCGAACTACCTGGACGGCGGCTACATGAGGTTCACATGGTGCCTAATGCACGCTATCTCTCAACTGCTCGTGTTCAGGGTCGCCTGCGGTAACGCTGTTCTACCACTGCTCATGCAGCCGGCCGTCTTTATGCAAAGCATCTACTCGTTGGGCCTCATCATTTTGGCCCTCGCTACCATTCCCCAGCTGCTCTCGGCCTTCATCGATGCGTTCACCGCCAACCTCGTCTACCTCACCGCCATCTACTACAGCGGAACCGCCGCCAACTGGTTTTTCACATTTGTACTATGGCATTACTTCTGGAATATAAAGAAAACAAAAAAGCTACTCCGAGGCAGTCCAGTGTAGTCAAGCCGGACTTTGGCAGCACTTTTCAGTATCCAAAATTGTTAAACATCTCGTTTCTTGATTAATCTCTAGATCAATTAAGTGCACAATAACTCTTGGAATGATATATAGTAAAAGGTTCGATCAGCGTTCTCCTTGCAGAGAGCAAAATTATGAAAAGGGTAAAGAGAAGAGGATACTTTATCAAGGAGTGTGATCAGCAATGTTTCTACGAGTCACATATCAACTATAAGCTTTTAATCAAAAACTGTTAGTTTCAATTTTTAAGACGAATTGTCCTTGCGAATGCAACAGCCCGCCGAGCGCTCTACTGCGGGGAAGATCAACCGCTTAGAGATCTGTCGTTATATTGTCCAGTTGGACAACTTTATTATCCATCATTAATTTAAAATCATTTTACACCATCCAAAACACATCTATCATATTCAACACTCGACCGGGGTCTTTCATACCTCTTCGTAGCATAAAGCCAGTCCGCGTTCGCCTGCCCGTTTCCTACCTCTCAATGTCGGCGGTGCCATCGAAGACTATCTGGTTTATGAGCCGATAATTATCATGCCATTCATCATGCGGCATTGAACTGGTGGAATCTCTCATGGCCATCCTACCCAGATCTCCTGGTGAT